GGGGGGGGGGGGGGGGGGTAGGAGTTGCGCAGCCAAGGGGAACTGTTTCTTGAAACATATGTGTGGCAAGAGGGGTAGGATAAATGATTTTATTCCCCAATGTGACACAACCCTTCGGAAAATACACTCATGCCGCGGTAAATGCGCGGACTGCAAAAAGAACCGTCCCCTACTTGCCGGCAACCCCACGGAAAAACCCTGCCGCTTGCGGCAGGGTTTTTCCATTGCAACCAACCGCATCCACCAATAGGATCCTTCCATATCCCTTTTGTCTTATTTGTCTATACCTTTGTCTATCAATTTCAACAATTTGCCCGCCGTTGAAATAAGCACATTTTGAATTACTCTCATTGTGTCTTTATCCCTCTTTTCCTTCCTCTTCCCTTAAAAATATTACCTTTCAAAATATTTTTGAAAAAATTGAAAAATGTCCTTAAAAATTCAAATGTCTCTTAATGACTTTTAACGTTTCAAATATGTCTTTAGAATTATTGAAAAATGACTTCATGACATTGGTTCTAAAAGCGTATAAATATCAAAATTTTTTATCTTTTCCTGCGCATTACAGTCGTTTTGATATGTCTCAATTTTTTACAGTCTTGAAGCATTTCTCCAAAATTTTTGTATTGTTTTCCGAGACATTTTAAAGGCATCTTCAAGTGTCATTGTCCTTCTAGTGCAGTCAAACAAGAGAAACGAGAAAGTAAAGAAAGAAAGAAACAAACAAACAAACAAAAAAAAAATAGATAAGATACATAAAAATAAACACTCTGCCCCGATTTACACTGCTCAACAGGTTAATATATTATTCCATCGGCATCGTTGATGGGAGATGTTTTGATGGAAGTGCCACGTGTAGCGACTTCTCTTTTAAAATCCCTTAACTGATATAAATATTTCAAGAGAGTACGGTTGTGAGTTGGGTTAAGACGATTAAAAAAATTAGCAACGAGAGCCGATTGACCCATGATAGAGAAACTGAACTCTACGTTTACTTTTTTGTTTACTTTACGTTTACCTACTGTTGAATTTGCAACATTCACTTTCCTAACGAACTTGAGAATAATCAAGGTCTGTAAAAAGTCGATTCACATCTCAATGTGCCGTCGCATCCCGCCACAAGATAATATCCTATTGTTTTGTAAATATTGCGAAATATTCCAGGATCAATGTTTTGCATATTCGTGCAGGAAATTATGTAGGTGAAACTCCCAAGATTGGTCCATTTAATAGACTGATTTAGTGGCTACGTCAGTCGATATAATATCGAGCCCTTGGTTCAAATGTAAACAAACATAGAACCTTTTTTCTGATTCGCGCCCTTTGCGCTACGGTGGTTAAATGCGCTAAAGCGTTTCTTAGAATCGAAATTTCTCGTATTTAATGAGTCTTTAATTGATTTATGACCGGTCAATGAATAAATTTTAATAAATTAACACGACTCACTCATGAAAATTCGAACGTGAGGTTATGTCACTTAATTTTAGTTTGAACCAAGAGTTCGATATTATTTCGAATGACTTAGTCACTAAATCAGTGTATTCCTCTATAGATTGTAGGAGTGTGGGGTTGTAGCAGATCCAAAGCACACGTTTATTTCGCTTGATAAACTTCGATGGAGCCAGTAGACAGTTTAACTCATTGGCAAATATTGTCAACTTTAAGTTCGCCTTCAATTTCACCGGATAGGCAACAAACGTACCCGGTAGCGCGAATAGTTATCAATTGGGCCGCGTTAAGCAGAAAAGAACCGAGTCACATCAGCTATTGTAAAAACAGTGGGCAATTTAATTTTTTACAAGAGAAGGTTTGTGCGGATTATTTGAAAATTTGAAGGAATTTGCTTCGTACTATGCAGATAATTTTTGAAATCGTACTATGGAGATAATTTTTGAAATTTGCTCATAAATCCGCACAGCGTTTTCATATAAACAACTAAATTGCCCGATTAAAATTGACAATAGCTGATGAGACTTGGTCCCTTTCTTCTTTTGACATCATTTTGCAAAAGGTTAAGAGTTAAGAGGTTAAGAATTCAGGAAAAAAAGAGGCCAACGATTTAATAGGTAATTTCTTCTTTGATGTTTCTGCCAGTAAAACATTAATAAAGTTCAAATTTTGATTTAAAAGAAATCTTAACTGTTTTAAAATCATTTTCATATCCTAATAAGTAATACAATTTATGTGCAGGTGGATGGGGAGCTGGAACTGTTATCAAAGAAACTCGGAGAAAAGAAAGCGTTCGGCTTCCAGGGGATAAAGAGTTCATTATATTTTGCTTTATATATTTAAAAACAAAAAAAAGAATAACTACTAAGTAAAGGAAAAAAGTAGGTTCTGACTCCTATAATGATAGCGTTCAAAATTTAAGTAACTGCATTAATGAACTGTCGCTCTTAAGCGAGTAACAGTTCAAGTTATTGATTTAAGAGAAAAGTGTCCGACCCGTTACGAGTGTTATTTTGACTATTATGCTCATAATTTTGTTTCCAAGTTAACAAAATCGTATTGGACTGACCCTTCGACAGTTATCTCAGGTCAATTTCTGAAAACAGAGAACAATAAAAATAATTGCATATTATTTCCAAAAAAAATGAACATTTGCAGGTTAAGTTTTTACTACTAATGATCCTCTAATTTTTCCAATTCTTCCTGTTTTTCCGATTTTTATACATTGATAATTTTAGAAACCACTGAATATCTCAAACATTTCCTCATATACATATGAACATAAAATTGCTTGGTCGATACTTCAAACGCGATTGTGCAAGTCCTTTCTCAGTTTGTAACGTTGCACACTTCGTGGAGGAAATTTATTTTTTAAACAGAAAAGTACGCGATGTCAATTATGAAAAACTTACGTGATTTTTCTCCCCTGTGACATGCAAACTCAGAGAGCATTTACGATGGTGAAAGTGCAGAAGGAGAGTAAAAAAAACTGTCTACATTCCTCCTTATTGTCATTAGAAGGGTAATAGTTTTTGAGGATAGCAAGAATAAGATGCTTTTTCAGACTTCATCAACATTTTGAATAATTTCTCGCGCTGTTAGAAAATACGGCCGAAATGCCGAGATTCGCGTTTTCGGTACTATAAGAATTGACACTTTATCACGAGATACGCATTTATGCAATTAATGTTTTAAACCTATTGTTGGCGGATTTTGATCATTTAAAAACTGGAAAAAAGGTTTCATGCTTACAATTCTTTATCAGAAGCTTTAGTTTGACCTCATACGGCCGGATCAAGCATTATATGATTGGAAACTGACATTAGATTACGAGATACGCATTTCTGCAATTAGCGTTTTGAAGCTACTCTTGATCATTAAGATCAAAAATAGAATTTATTCAACCTTAAAACTTATTTAGAAGCATTAGTCGATCCAATACACTAAATGCAGCATTGTTTGACCGGATTGACTCTAATAAAACTGACTGTTGTGATGAACCGTCAGTTCAATCAGTTCATGATTGCATTGGCCCAGAGAGTAAAAATGGACATGAACGCCGCGAGCTGCTAGTAGGTAGTAGATACCTATGAAGAAATGATACCGGTGGGCCCTCCAGTGATAATCCGCCTTCAATTACAAGCGTATGCAACAATAATGACAAGAATCAGTACCTAGTCCCCCCTCCCTTCCCTCGTCTATCGGCCTATCACCAGCATTCACTGGTATTATGCATGCTGGACTGCCTGATTGTCCACATTTATCCACATCAACTTTCTTTTTAGATAGATAAATGAAAACCATTGAAAAGAAACACAGAACAGCTGATCAGCTGATGTGCGGTGTTGGCGGGAAACGCTGCTGAGGAGCGCGCGTTGTGATTGGTTGTGCGTAAGGCGCGCCGAAAAATGAACAGGCCTGAACGAGATACGCATTCCTGCACTTAAGCCCGAGATACGCGAAAAAAGTTCTACGGTTTTAGGTGACTTCTCGATTTTTTTCGATTATTATCTTTTGCTGGCTGATAGACGACATCTTCAACTACACGTTTATGCAGCTAACTCAAAACTGTCAAAAATCGAGATACGCACCTCTGCACTTTCACCATCGATTTCAAGGAATTGCCATTTTTTCCTCCTTTAAAATAATAAAAAAAGAAGCGGACGTTGTTGACGTCCGCACACGAAATACTTGACTTCGGAATTATACCGTCGACAGCGTATTCGAAGCGACAACTCACATGCAGTCAAGGCATTCGATGGTGAAAGTGGAGAGGTGCGTATCTCCATTTTTGACAGTTTTGAATTAGCTGCATAACCGTGTTGTTGAAGATATGTCGTCAATCTGTCAGCAAGAGAGCATACTCAAAAAAAAGGAGGAAATACATACATATAGTTAGTATATAGTTAGTTAGTTAATTTTACTTAACGACGATCAGCATCTAGGCTATTTACGTTACATACATACATATATACATACATATATATATAAACATGAATTTGAATGGCATATATTTTCGTGATCTACGACCCGTGATCGGTGCTCTTCACAAGGTCTCAGGCCTGGGTCCGACATCATGGGAGAATGCAATAGTGTATTTTCTTCGGAAAATACACTAAAAATTGAGAAGAGGCCTATAATCGTAGAAGTTTTTACGCGTATTTCGGGCAGCAGGCTTAAGTGCAAAAATTTGTTTCACGTACTGGCCCCTTCATTTGATCCGGCGCCCTCTACGTACAACACGCGCTCCTCACCTTCTTCGCCAACAGTATACATGCAGCTGATGAGCTATTCTGTGGTTTTATTTATTTTCAGGAATTTGCTGATTTTGAAAAAGTTGCTAAACATTCATCACTCGAGGGCCCTCCAGTTGCATTTCTTCATAAGTACCTATTACTAGAAGGGCGCCTTGCCTTCATGTCCATTATTCACTCTCTGCATGGGCCAATGCAATCATGAACTGACGAGCAATATAACACCAATAGATGGATACGCCGTATCAATCACCCGTATCTAGCGAATTAAATGATCAGGTTGCTACTATCATTTTCAATAATATATTTTTGTTTCTCATATAAAGAAAAAAAAACATTCTTTTAATCTCACTCACACGACCAACTTAATGGAGAAAATAGTTTTGATCAACGTACCCTCGTCGTCCGAATCGGCCGAGAACTGCTCGGCATCGGAGAAGTCTATAAGGTCAGCTAAGGGTTCTTCGTCCTCCAACTCGTCTGGAAAAGGAAGAAAAGGCGAACTTTATCAGAAAGGAAAGATGACACTTTTTTAGGAAAGTAGCTATATAAGAGCAATTTAGAATAGAGAGGTACTTGTTTCCAAATTGGATTCAATTATGGGAGTGCCTTGTGTACAAAGTGATTTACTTTATGTGAATCGCATAGATAAGACGATTGTTGAAAACTCACAGGTGCCAACCCGCCTAGTGCGTCGAAAAAATCGGTCATATTGTGCCCAAGAATAATGGCTTTGCGCCAACACGCGACGTGGCACCTCAAAATTGCATCCTACTCCCCCCCCCCAAAAAAAAAAAAAAAAAAAAAAAAAAAAAAAAAAATACGAATTTTTCTGTTTGGTAATTTTTCGAAATTCCGACGCACGGCATCCGACTGAACTCGCGAAAAGCAAGGAGTAGCGCGGGCAACTTCGCCGCGGTCGGCGGCACAACAGAATTATTAGGATCAGTGTTGAAGGGGACGAGGGGACGGGAAAGATCCTGTGCGTGTGCGTTCAGCCATCGAGGTCCTTTTGGTTCTCAGGAAAAGTCACCAGTGACCAACACCTTCTTTAACTATATCCAAGCCTTACAAATATAGAATGAAGAGGAATTTCGATTTAACATTTCCTCCTCAAGAACCCAAATCACAATTAACTTATAAATAAAACTAGTGAAAGAAAGTAGAGGTGCTTTGTATCTTCCCTGGAGTGTCCATCTATGACCTTAACGTTAATATATTCAATAGAGAGCCACTTGAATAATAAGGAAAAAACCCGTTTGAATTTTAGAAAACTGAGAACCTTCATTACAACAAGTCAAGGCTTTCAGTGTATTTATTTCATTACATATATTTCAATTTGATTCCTAGAGCTTTTCTTCTCCCCAAGTTACAGCTACAAGTTCTGTGACTAATAGACGTTGCGTCTATAAATTTTCACTAGATGCGCCCTGACATATAGGCAAAAAGTGAATTCGGCCCCTAAAAATATCCAATGGCCCTTGAAAATCGAGCTTGATGTGCTAAATGACTCCTGAACTGAAAGGTTAGTTTCGCGCATTGCGCTAAAACGTAGGAAAAAGCCCATAGGTAAATACAGTTTTCACACTGAGGTGGTAAGGATTTTTTTACGACAGGGGTAATTCTAATGTGGACAATGGAACTGAGAAAATCCTTCACTCGATTGCAGTGTTTCAGAATCTCCGGTCGGATTTTATTCCTTATTAAAAGAGGACGGAACCAACGCTACAGCTTAAAATTATCACACAATCATGGGTGGCGGTAGCCACCCCCGGACAAAGTCTAAACTCGACAACAGTGGAAGGCGTCCAAACGAGAAAGGTGGCAGCCAACCATAGACACACGTAACTCCCTTATTCTGAAAATTGATTCGGTTGCAGCCGAAACGACGGCACGGATTCCGACAATCTTGGTGTCTACTGACGGACCTAAATTGGGCCTACAAAGTGGGAGAGTTTCATCAAGATCCATTGAGTTTTCAAAAAGTTAGAAGCACTTCAAGGCCCAAAACGACAAATATTTTTTGTAACATGGGCCGTTTAGTACCGGGTTTACTTTAGATAAAAATGAAAATAGGTAAGCAAGGGGTCTCCTGCAAGGGCTATAAACATACGTAAACGTCATGACTGTTGCATCACTCATAAATGAAGGGGCCTACATTC